TCAGGCATGCTGGTCACCACCAAAAAGTGTCAGTTACAAGCTTCCTATCAAATCTACAATCTGGTCTGTATCTACTATACACAACTGTTTACACCAAAAAAGTAAGGATACTATACAATTCCATTTGACCTTGTGGGTGGAATTGGATCTATTTTCAAAACATCTACCATTCCTTTCCTTCCAAACTGACCACCATATACATGATGGTATTAACCTCCACCATCTCCTTTGGCTCTTGCTGCTTCCTCTCCTTACCCAGCTCTTTAACAACTCTGATATATGTTCTGGCATTGTCCAATTCAGATTTGAAATGCTAATGAATAAATTCCAGACTTGCTTGGTAAAGTTACAGTGCAAGAAAAGGTGATTGTTTGTTTCTCATGTCAAATTGCACAAAAAGCATCTGGGAACCATTTGTCTACCCTTCTTCTGTAATACTTCCTGTGTTAAACAAGCCCTCGTTATCACTAGCCAGGTGAAACATTTCACTTTTGTAGGAGCGTCCCCCTTCCAAAAATAGTTCCATTGATGCTTTGGGTCTCCTGCCATCAGTTGGAGACTCTTCTGTAGGCACTGCTAACTGTGTAAAGACCATCATTTTTGTGCCTCCATAGCATCCTGTCTGTGGCATTTGTGTGTATTCTCATTCCACCTAACTTCCCTAGTAACTCTGCAACCCTTTCCACCTCCCAATCATTAAGAAATCTCCTGAAAACTAAATTCCAACCCTGTTCTGTCCAACAATCACATTAGCATCAGGGTTCTCACTGATTTGAAAGAGATCTGGGAAAAGATCCCTAAGAGAGGATTGTTCTATCCAGATATCCTTCCAAAATCTAGTTTTACTGCCATTTCCCACCTTGATAAACAAATCTGCTTCCATTTGGGGCCACAGGTTTCTGATTGTTCTCCATACTCCCACACCATAAGGTTCAACTGTGTTCTCTGTACACCAAGGGGTTAATTCACCATACTTGGCTTTAATCACCTCTTACCAGAGAGCACTTCCCTCCTCAGTGTACCTCCACAACCACTTTTTCAGTAGACTTTCATTTTGCAATCTCAAGTTTCTAATTCCCAGCCCCCCTCTATCTTTGCTAAGGAGTACAGTCTTCCAGTTAACTAAACTATAGCTGCCTTGCCATAGAAAGTTTCTCCTTAACTTGTCCAATTGTTCTTCTACTTTTGCTGGAATTGGAAATAAGGACATCACATAAGTGGGTAAAGAGTCAAGAACAGAGTTTATAAGAATCAACCTTCCCCCTCGAGAAAGATATTGAGCCTTCCATCTCGATAGCTTCCTTTCAGTCTTCTCCAGGATACCATCCCATATTTCCAAGCACAACCAACACACTCTTTTTTATTCTTTTAGTCCAACCACACACCCTAGGTCTTCTGAATTAACATGACGACGCACATCACCAAGTTTAACACTGAACAGTTAGATTGACATACTGATTTTCCATATCTCAGAGAAAACTGGAATTCTAGAAACTACAGGAAGAAGTTTCTACAATTTTGACAAACTATGAAGGAAAGCAATGTAGATCTACGCTGAATAGTTGTTGGTTATTCAAAGTAGTTAGATTGGCTCAAAATCTTATCACCTGAAAAATCAGTAAGCTAACCATGAATTGCGCAAAAGGGAATACTTGCAATTCACTTCATTGTAATTAACAAGTTACACCAAACAAGCAAATGGATTGTGATGGTAAACCGTTCAGTAGGAGTCTGAGTTTCCCGGTTTATAAAGGTAGAAAAGGTTTGGTCAGAGTTGGAAGGATCACAAATCAGAAGGATTCAAATTAAACAGCACACCACAGAAATCCAGCTAAAGTACACACTTGGAATTCACTTCACTGTAAGTAATAAGAGATGCCAAACAAGAAAATGTTTTATGATATTAAACTAGTCAGCAGTATTCTGAGTTCCCCATCTATAAAGGAAGAATAGGCTTGATTTAAGAGTTGAAAGGAATACTCAAATGAGAAAAATTCAAATTAAATAGCATGCCCAAGATATCAAACCAAACACACAGTAATAAGTTGCGCCAAACAAGAAAATGCATTATGATGTTAAACTGGACGGCAGTGTCCAGCACTCCTAGTCTATAAAGGTAGAAAATGCTTGGAAAGATTTGAGAGAATACAAATGAGGAAGATTCAAATCAAACAGCATGTCCAGGAAATCAAACCAAACACACAGTCCAACCAAAACTTGATTTCAAGGGAGACTTAGGCTACAAGAGAAATAACACCCTAATGACACCAAGTTGAAAATTTTCCTACAGGCACTAATACTCCATTTCCTCTTCTTTCTACAGCCAGACACAGTTGAAAACAGCCTAATGCAATGCACCTGCACCAAGCTATAATGCTATATCATGCATAAAATATTGGACGGCTGCATAATTTCAACAATTACTCAAATAACATCCTAACCTGAAAAGCAATGGCACACAGTCGATGTAGCTTAGATGAACTTTGGTAAAAAATAAAAAAAAACATCTTTATTTGGTAGCAGTCTTTAAATTTTTTTTTGATGAAGTAAGTAGATTCATTTCAAGGCATCAAGAAGATGCAAGCTTTACAAGGATAGATCAGTTAAGCTCACAAAAAAAAGGAGGTAGCAGTCTTTAATAAACAAAGTAACCAATTGGAAAGACCACTATGGACTCTAAAAGATACAGACTTCATCTGTAGTTTTCTTCTTTCTTGTACAACCAGTCATACCCCCTTGGAAAATTAACATAAAGACTCTACCTTTACATAAAATTTCCAAAATCCTATATAACCAATGACCACTGCTCCTTCCCTCAAACCAAAGCAAAAGGGAGATTCTTCTTCTTTCTGTTGTGAAGCTTTTGAGACACAACACCTAATGAAATAGGTTGAGAACAATGATGTCTCAGTTGCAATACCCCATGAAATTAGTCGAGTTGCGCGGACACCACGGTTATAAAAAAAAAATAGACACAGAGTAATGCACTTAGATTTATCAAAAGTATCTACACATAAAGACAGTACACACACAGAAAAAGATAAGTGTTTTACATCCCAATGCAGATTACCCGGGCACACATTAAAAAGATTTCATCTTTTTACTTGAAAAGTAACATAAAGATTCTACCTTTACATAAAATTCCCAAAATCCTATATAACCAATGTCCACTGCTCCTCCCCTCAAACCAAAACAAAAGAGATTCTTCTTCTTTCTGGTTTCTGCTATGAAGCTTTTGACAGCATGAATTAAACATAGTCAAAAATTCAAACACAACATGAAGTCTCACAAGCAAATAGCCCATAGAAATTAGTCAAGGTGGACGCAATCTATCCAGACAGAAGGGTTATCATAAAAAATTCAAACACAGAGTAATACATTAAGATTAAAGAAATATATCTACACATAAACACAATGTCTGCAAATTTAGCATAAAGATACAATTTTTCAAGATTGTAACTTTGTAAAGCGATATCAAGAAAAGGGTAAGGGGGGTAATAAAGAGAGTAGTAATTACAAGGAATTTGCATGAGAGTTGAGTATTTATGGGTGCACTGATTGTTACAGGGAGGTGCCCATTGATGAGGAATCATCTTTTTGACCCGTTTTTCGAAACAAAAATTGTAACCCTCGCCGTTTTGCCTTGTTGTGTCTCTGTCAAAATTGAAGAGAAGATGGATGATGGAAATGGGGGGCAAGTACAAGAATGGTTACTTCAAGGGTAAGACCAGAGGGGGCTCTAATTTCCCTGCTGCCATTTGTTGGGAAACAAGGAATAACAAGAAAAATATTTTAAAGTCAAATATAATGGAAATAAATTGGAAAATTAAAGATTTTAATTACTTGCACAATGTGCTTATAGTTAGGACTTTCATAAAAAAAAGAAAAAATTATAATATTAGTTATATGTCCACTTTAAAATTTGCATACTCTTTAAAAAGATAATGATTAATATGTAAATTACCACAATATTCATATTGAATTTATGTATATTTTTGGACATTGAGAAATAAGTAATTAATATTAAGTGTAAATTAAAAAAGTAATTGCTTTTGTTTAATAGGTTGAAAAATAATAAGTACGCATAATTTCAAATTAAAAAATATTTTTTGAAATATTAGACAAATAAAAGTGAACGGAAAGTAAATATTACTTTACTTTATTTTAGAAAAATGAGTATGTATCTCAAAGTTGGATAAAATTAAAAAGAGAGAAGTATCGAAAACAAATTACATGGTTAAGCAAACATATATTAATTAATTAATCATTATAGTTATAGTTTTAGTTAATTACCATTTGCGACAAATATTCAATAATAATTACGTGGGTTGGGATTTCGAGTTTGTATAATTCAGCATTTGTATAATATGATTTGTATAATTTTTGTATAATGTAATTTTGTATAATATAATTTGTATAACTGTTTAAAGTTCAAATGTTTGTGTTTGTATAAATTCATTATTTCGAGTTTATACAAAAATAGCTTAATTATGCAGACGTACCCGTGAATTATACAAACTCACCCGCAAATTATACAAACGAGATAGTTTAAACTATAGCTACAACCCGTAAATATGCAAATTATAACTATGAAACATAATTAAATTTATTATAATAATAATTTGCAAAAATTCCCCTTAATTTTATGATTATCCATGAACTATGACACTATTAAAAAATGTTTGTGTACTTGACTAACTAAACTTAAATACACCATCAAATTTGCAACATAAGTGAAATACACCTTTAAATTTGCAACATAAGTGAAATACACCTTTAAATTCTCATCAAGTTTAAGATATTTTCAACATTTCTCTAATGTTTCTACGAGAGTTTGAACCACTTTGTTATGTCATATGACAAAAATGAAGTGTGTATTAAAGTTGAGTTAATAAAATAAAAATGTGTTTTTAAGACGGCGAATAGTTTGAAACTAATAATTTGCAGTACTATGTATATATATACACATATTTACCATTCCCATTTCTGCTTCACTTTGCTCAAGATTCAGCATAAACCCTAAAATGAAGCTTTTATTCTCTATATTGAGAAATTCAAATTCAATATCTAATCACAGAAATGTGTTTAACCGTTTCTACATTTCGACGCCAAGTAATCATCTTTACAGACCCATCAATGGAGACTCTTTGTACAGAAGAATTTCACCCTTAGGGGACCCAAATGAGTCTATAGTACCTGTACTTGATCAATGGATCAAAGAAGGGAAACATGTGGTTAAAAAAGAACTTCAGTATATGATCAAATCATTAAAAGATTACAGAAGATACAAACATGCCCTTGAGGTAACATTATTTTAACTACACTTGTGTGTATTGGTGGTGTGAGAATGCGACAGCTAGGAGGTGTGAGAGGTAGGTCGAAGAAGAACTGTGGAGGTGATTAGACAGATATGACATAACTTTAGTTGATTTTAAAAAGGAAGTTATTGAGGTCGAGGAGTAGGATAGTAGGTAGTCGAGTGCTGTTGTACTTCTAGTAATATATGATTTAGGTATCACGTAGTTCCCCTTTTCCCCAATGTCTATTAATTAATATGTGTTAGTTACACTTGTTTTGTACATTTGCGATTTTGTTGTCTCTTTTTTTTTTTTACTTTCGTGCATCAATTACATTTCTTTTGAGCCAAGGGTCTATCGAAATAACCTCTCTAGTCTCTATCCCATAAAGGTATAGAGGTAAAGTATGTGTACATCCTACCCTCCCAAAATCCACTTGTGAGATTACGCTGGTTATGTTGTTGTTGTATTGGTAAGAGGGGGATTTAGGATTTTGAAGTTTATGAGTTCGTACAACAATCTTAAGTTAATATATGGTAATAATTGAGTTTAGTGTCAAATATTTATAAATATCTAGTGGATTTCTTACTATATATTCAGGGTCAAAAGTTAAAAGGGTTCATGTAGATTGTACTCTAGCTCCGCCTCTGCTATTAGTCGCGCTATTGTAAATTAGGCTGTCATATTTTCTATGAATTTGAGCCAATTTGTTATGAATTAGACCATTTCTTGTGTTTTTTAAAACAAATGGGTAAAGGGTTAATCCCATCATTTCTGTTAATTAAGGTCCAATTGGCTGATGCTTAACAATTTTCTTATGGAGCAAGTTTAGGTCTTTTTAACTCTGCTTAGCATAGCTGGTCCCAAGTAACAATAGAATAACTAACATAGGCGGAGCCAAGATTTCAACTTTATGGGTTCTAGATTATGACTTCAAGTGGTAATAACTAGGTTCTAAATTTGATATATGTACATATTTAATGAATTTCTTAATACAGATATACTATTTGATCAAAAGCTATCTGGGATTCTACCTCCACCCATGAGCATAAGAATAGTTTAATTGTGATGAATTCTGTCAATAGAGTGAAATTGGGTACAAAGGATTTATATTGTTAACTTGTTTGGGGGTCGAAAAGTGTTATTAATTTATTCAATTTTTAAGTGTTTGTCTCTTTGGAAAGCTCTTCTATTTGAGTTGTATTCTTACTGAGTTGTCGCAGAGAAAAACTTTGGTAGGAATCATGATTATAGAACTGTATCTTAGGACCTTCGAGGTGGTGCTTGTGGTTGTTTTCAGGATTTTCGATGGGCTTAGGCATAATACTCTGAAAGTCTCCACTGTATACGTCGCGGTGCTTCATTAGTCTGTTTATGCATGCTGATACTGTGAATTCAATGTTTCTCTATTGATTCCTAGGGTCGTAGTCAGGGTCTTTGATATTTAGGTTTCTAATGTTTTCATCCTGCTGGTACGACAATAATACCCTGGAAATGTTAGTACTTCTTCAAAAAGAAAAAAACTGGTGTGTGTTCTTGATAGATATCAAAGCTGTGCATGATTTTGTGCACTAATAGGGTGATCCCAACTCTGTTGTGGCTTTGTGTTTTAAATGCCAATAGTATAATTAACCACCAAATATTAACTTGTGTTGTCATGTGAATATTTATCGAATTATAAGTGATATAGTTCCTCACCCTTGCAAGATGTAGAAAGAACAAAATTTTGCTGTCAGGAGGCCTAAGGCGAAAAGATCAAGCTGCTCATTCTTATTTCATACTGAGATGATTCAATCAATGTTGCATGTTGAGTGATCTTCTAAATTCTGTCGACAGGTATCTTATTGGATGACTGACAAAAGATGTTTTAGCCCAGAATATTCTGATATTGGAGTACGAATTCATCTAATTTTTAAAGTTAAAGGTCTAGAAGAAGTTGAGAAGTATATCAATAGCATCCCGCAGCAATTTAAAGGCTTTCAAACCTATTCAGCTCTTCTCAACTGCTATGCCAGTGAGAAGTCTGTAGAGAAAGCTGAGGCCATCATGCAAAAAGTAAAGGATATGGGGTTAGCTCATAATCCATTGTGCTACAGTTTCATGATGAAAATGTATTATCGAACAGGAGATTGGGAGAAAATGGACAATATGATGAATGAAATGGAGGGGAAGGGTATAAATTTTGACCAGTTCATTCTCATAATCAGGTTAAGTGCATATGCTGCTGCTGGAGATTCTGATGGAATGGATAAAATAGCAAGGATGTTGGAATCTGATAAACGGATCACATTGAATTGGAATGCTTATTCTATCATCGCAGAGAAGTATCTCAATGTTGGGCAAGTGGAAAAAGCTCTGACAATGCTGAATAAACTGGAGGGCATGCTTGCCACTAGCAAGAATAAGCAGGGGTTACTTGGTGTATTACTAAACCTCTATGCGCAAGCTGGAAAGAAGGAAGAGCTACATCGAGTTTGGGATCTGTTCAAGCAGAATCTACGAATATATAACAAAGGTTACATTAGCATGATGAATTCGTTAATGAAATTTGATGACATTGAAGGAGTTGAACAAATATTTGAGGAATGGGAATCAGGGGGGTTATCCTATGACTTCCGAATTCCAAACTTTTTGATTGGCGCATATTGTAGAAATGGTCTTCTACGCAAGGCTGAGGCCCTCTTCGACAGAGGATTATCAAAAGGAGGTGTTCCTACTGTCATCACATGGTGTCATTTGGCAAGTGGGTATATCCATGAAGATCAGGTCTCAAAAGCCATAGAAGCATTGAACAAGGCAATGTCAATCTGCCCGCCTAAATTTATCCCTAGCAAGGAGACTTTACGTACCTGTGTAGAATATTGGGAAAATCAGGGAAATGTGGAGAAGGCTGAGGAGTTTGTGAGGTCTTTAGAGGTGGAGGGTGTCTTTTCATCAGTTTTTTGTGAAAAGTTGTGGTGCTTCATCAACAAATGAAAACTCCAAACAGGAACAACTGAAGGTGAGTTATGATTAAGCGGGGGCTGTATACTGCGAACTGAGAGCCTCATAACGTCATGCAATGCAAGAAGCTAGTTTTGAATATGTGCTTCAGTTGTTACATTAGTAACTCGAGAGCTTTGGGCTAGTGATAAGAGAGCAACACGTGATATGTAGATTGGGCACGTTGAATCTTGCTGCAGACAAAGCTGGATATCATGAGTTTCAAATTATGTGTCATTGGGCTAAGAAGAAGAGGTACTAGTAAATTTGTATAATTTGAGTGAATCATGGAATACCAGAGTATCATGTACTTGTATAAACAGAAAATCTAGAATTAATTTATGATACATGTAAATTGTAATAGTCTAATCACTTGTTAGAAGAATTGATATGAATACCTAGGTACTATGGTCGTTTTATTTAAGCCAAACTAGGAAAAGCAAAGAAAATAGCGAGTCTCATATTCAAATCTTTGACAATTTTTTTAAAAAAATTACATAATTTCTTTCATCTGCCTAAATCATAGCGGACATAATTACTTGATACATGTGCGAATGGAAAGTAGCAAATATTTATCAAATAGTTGAGACGCGCAAAAATGGGTTGGACATCAATCATCATTGAAAAAAGTAAAGAGAAAGCTCTTCTCCACTTGTTGATTGAAAGGAAGTACTATCGCAAGCGGGGTCTAGAAAGAGTAGGATGACAGATTTTTGTCTATCCTTTATTTGTCCATTAAGTCCATTTTCCGCTAAAGATAGCTAGTAAAACACCTATATTGTAATACATAAGAGGAAGGATGACTAAGCAACTATGCTACTATTGCACCCCAAACTAAAAACTACAATTGGAAATCCAACTTTAGGTGGTCTCACTCTCTAGAGAATTCTATTGACCTCGCATATAAAATGGAAAATCTGGTTAGCACCCATATTTAAGAATAAAAGAATAAAGACTTGATTGGATGGTATTCACGAAAAGATGACAAGCATGAGTAAAGAAGTGTCTTACGTTACCATTTTTGGTGGTAAAGAAGATGTTCATGTACGCAAACATTACCTCTGCCTTTGTTAGTACTATTGTATTAATGCCTTTGAATGCTTTACTTTCTTCAGAAACAAGAGTTGCATGGGATAGAAATTTAGTAACTGAGATAGCAATTGAAAGTTCTATTTCCAGTATGATATTGCTATGATAGGAAAAAAGAAATGTTAAGCCTTCAATTATATACAACAAAAAATGAATAAATTTGACACCTAAACTTGATTACCTTCATTGTGTTAAAAGCTATAATGCTCATGTATCTCAGTTCCTAGCCCCAAAATTCATATCCTTGTAACAGGTAAGGGGGAAAAAATAAGAATTTGCTTAAGCAAAATTTCCAATAACTTTTCTATGACGCTTTTTCCTGTCTCTCCCGCGCTTTGAGGGTACCTTCTTTAATGGCTCATTAACTGAACTTGACGTTGTAATGTTGCTTGAGGTCTGCGGGGTTTCATCAGGTACAGGCGGTGGAGGATGAACAATTTCAGTAGCACCAGGGGGAGGTGGGGAAGACCAGTGCTCAAGAATGTCACGGTGGTACCCCTGTAGATAATAAAAGAGTATAACAGATAGCCAATCTATTATATCCTATCATATAACAGAGATTCAATGTCTACTGAACTAATATCATCATTTTTTGAAAGGAAGAACAGAAGAAAAAAGAGCAGTTCAAGAATAAAATGTCAACTCGAGAAGTAGTCACGTATCATGCAACTGCACATTGCATTTTTCCTACGAGGACCATAAGAATCTTAGCATATTATGAAGATTTGGTGTGAATTCAAAAAGAAATCTGGTGCGGGGAGGCACATCTCCTTTTTTTTCTTTTCCATTCCATTATCAGAGCATAGATCTTTGAAAATCCAAAAGGCAAAACACAAAAGATCACCTGAACCACAAAATTGCGTCTTTCACAGTCCAAGAACATATTCAATGTCCAATTTGTCTTTGACATGATCTTGTCCCTCACAATGGCGAAGCTAATTTGGTCTCTTGGAGTAAAACGATCCACTTCGTTAAACCAAAGACAAGCAAAGAGATTGGAAACTGGAATGTGCTCCCTTACTACTACACATCCCTCAGGGACATCTGCATGTAAAATAGTATGCTAGAACGTTCATCGAAGAGAAAATATCTATATCAGATTTGTGAAAAAGATAAGAGAAAAGAGGTTTACATCATTACCACTTGTAATAGGAAGTTTAGCTGCGGAATAAGGAGTTAGACCTTCCTTTTTATAGAATTCAATTTGAAAGTCAATGGAAGCATTGTCAAACTTTGCAGCAGCTTTGTTAGCTTCTGCTTCTACAAACACATCAAAGCGCCTATAATGCTTTGATATTGCAAAGCTGACATTTTTTCTCCACAAGAACCTGAAATTAAAACATAAGTTAAAGAAAGGTTTCGACTAAGCAGTTTTAAAGAACAAAAGCTCGGCATCACTAGCCCAGCATGCAATGTTTGCAAACTTTTATGATCCCTTCTATCAGAAGGGCAACCCCCTGATCAGTAAGATAGTTTCCTTGTAATAAATAGGATTAGGGCCATTTAGCACTTCCTCACGTTTGCTCTTAATCTAAGTCACGCAACAAGAACAATTTTCATGTATGACTTATTCATCTTTTTGAAGGAAAAAAAAAACATGCATGTTTTATTCATTATTGTAAGGTGTCAAAAAATTGCAAAAGCATTGTTGAAGGTGTCCAGAACGCGCTAGCACTGTTCATAACACAATAGTGACAATATCTATCATTTTGCAATACTGACATGTAGCAGAAAGATCAATTTTGATATGATAAAAATGATAGAAGAACTCCAGGCAATAGCAAATCAGAGAGGTGATTAAATTATTGGCAACGAACATTTAGCATTTCCAGAAACTTTACTCTTTTTTTTTGATAACCGAGAAATCCGTCTGTGATCCGCCCTTTGGACCAATCACAGCCTTCTAAACTTTACTCTTTTGTTATCACCTTTTCTACAGAAAGCTGATAAAAGCATGTGGAGGCTACTATGATTAAGAGCCGCCAGCACCGTATGCTTTATTATAGTTGATTCTAGCTAGAAACTCTTGTGAAATGATCTAGTGACAAATCAGGGGAAGAAATGTCCTACACCTTTTAGAAGGTATGGGAGGCTCTACAGAAGCCTGTACTGTTATTAGTCAAGAGACAGAATACAACTGAGAGAAAGCAACATCATGGTTATTGCTTTAAATATAAGGAGTGGTGTATTTAGTCTTAGATGTACCTTTCAAGTATTTGATAGGGATCGACAACCAGCTCAAGTTTTGCATCAATCCATAGAGAATAACGAGCATTGGGAAAGAGCCTATGAAGCAGAAGCTTTGGAACCTGAAATGTCAACAAATACAAATTAGTCAGAGAATTTTACAAATGATACCAGTCTAGGTAGGTGAACTTGAAGCACTCAGCTATCATACAATGAATGGTTCTCAAGTACTGAAAAGCTTTTCTATACCATTAGGTAATAATTTCATGAGCATATACACATCGCCGAAGAAATCTGATTGAACAAAAGTTAAATGGGATAGGGAAAGAACAAACAGTGCCTAACAAAAGGAAGTTAGAAAGAATAGAGCCTTATTGCACCAAAGGGCGTGGTTTGGCAGCCAATGAAGTGGGTAAAACCCATGGGAGGCTAGGGTTCAAATCCCAATAGAAAAAAAAAACACTAGGTCAGTTCTTCCCATCTGCCTAAGCCTTGGTGGCAAAGCTACCTATGTTGGGGGAGGTAGCACTGTAGCAGGCACCCAGTGGAATAGTCGAGATGCATGCAAGCTAGGCTTGACACCACCATTGTCGAAAAAGAAAAACAACATAGCCTTGTCATTTCAATCCAAATAGAAAATGCAAAGTACGATACTAAAAGGCAATCATGCAGATGAAAATAGAGGGAGATCAGTGATCATAATCTGAATGAAAAGCAATCCTAACAAATGATGCATAGATGTCAATAACTTGAAAATTCTGGAATTACCTTTTGGGTTGGGTTGGGTTGGGGGATGGGAGGGAATTGGTTAGTGGAAACCAAAAAGAGAAGAAAATTGGCACATACTCCTTTCAATTCTTTACATAGCTATTCTCCTTTCAGTTCTTAACATAGCTATTCTCCTTTCAGTGATATGTACTCTTACAAATACTCATCCCCAACTAATAATGCTTGCAAATTTTAACTACTATTCAATATAGGTGATGTTATCATTGAGAATACCAACCTTCCCATTTCGCCTCGGATCATCATAAGGGAGGTTGTGAACAGTGACAATTCTCCATAAGCCAATTCTCATGGAACCATCTAGCTCACTAGAGTTTCTTAAAAAAACTTCTGTTTGTTCATCCACAAACATATGGAAGCAGACATTTTTCTTGGCATATTCACTGATATTTTTTGGTTGCCTTATCAAATCAAAAGCGCCTGTCCAAGAATGTACTAGTTACAAATCATAGCCAGCAGATTCAACAAGAAATGAGTCAGCACGTGAACTGAAAGATCCGTACCAAATATTGCTGATGCCACAACGACACCTCGACAAGATTCCATCTCATGAAGGTCAGAATCATCAATGTCAAAACCTGTTTGATGTCCAGGCCTGATTCCTTTAACAAATCTATCACATGGATTTGCAGCAGAAATAAACACAAATGAAACGAAGTAAAACACATTGTGAAGTGTGCAATAATTTACAACACTATCCATCAGTATCTTATAGATGAAGCCAAAAGAAAAAAATTGAAATTCAAAAAGAAAAAAGAAAAAAAGGTGGATGAAGCTTTATATTACAAGAACTACCCAGGTGGAAAAAATATCATACCCGCAATGCACACTCATGGACTCTCTTACATCATATGAATCATTCCTTTGCATCAGTGAAGGATATCCTCCAAACTCGGGTTTCTCTGAATTTTCTTCATGAATGTAAGCCAAATTGCTAACCCCAGGAGAAAAGGATGGTGCATCAGGCATTAGTGCAATAGCTTGTTCAACAGGAAGATAGCATACTGGACATGCTGAAAGAATGTAAACATCCAGTTAAGAATCTGCAGCTTACATTTTCTCACTGACCGTCCATCAGAGAGAAAATTTGACAGCACAATGACATATTTAAATCTTATGTTTGAAAAGTGTATGAGACAGATTTTAACTTACGCCTTGGTCCAGTCCTCTTTTTATCTGCTGGAGGGGGTGGCAACGTGAAGCTTTCACATGGATTCCCACGAGGAAGAGTGTATCCTTTAAAATATACAGGAGGAGGAGGTTTGACAGTCGATGCACTTTGTCCAGCATTAGTTCGTTCTACCGACTCAATAGTAGTAGAATTATCCTTTTGTCCAGCTTCTTGAAATAACCTATTGCCTATGGGAGGGTTACTTTCTTGTGCTTCACCTATGAAAGAGTTGAAATTGCAGAGACTGTCAGAAGCCAAAAACAAAGTGATGAAAGGCATTGCCATATTCTATCACCCACGTCATATCGAACAACCAAATCAACTCATTTATTTATCCATGTCCAGGAAGAAGATTAAAATAATGTTCTGTGTTAGATGAGAATCTTCCAGTGTAAACTAGACATAATCAGAAACTTACCTTATGAAGAAAAGCTTAAAAAGAGCCAAAGCTAAATGCCATCAAACTGAGGTAATGATTCCAGCATCTAGCAAGCTCAAAGCTTAATTAAGATGACAAACAACACAAGTTTTAAAATTGCAACACAAAGCTATATAAGATTGTTAATTTCGTAGTACCAAGATGCTATTTCCCAGAGGGTTAGAACGACAAACTGTAACTCAAGTTTCAATCAGCACAAAAAAAAAACAGAATCACATTGAATGTATCAAACAATCAGTCTGTCAACGATGCCTCAGTCTGAACTAGTAAAAAAATCCAGAAAGCAGCAATGTCAAAAGATTAGAGACCAAACCTTTGTCAACAAACACGACCCACAGGAAAACTGCTAGCGAAACTGCACACAGTAGAAGCATCCCCACCTTCTTTCTTGGTGCGAATTTGTGAATCCCGGGGAACAATCCTTCTTTCTCCTTAAACATTTTTGGTGGCTTTCAGGGTGTAGTTTGTGATGTAGCAGAATTATTGCAGCAAAAGAACCATAACTTCCAGAAGGACAGAAACCCAATGACTCTGTAGTCATTGTTGTTCCCTCAATACTCCTACTTCACCTCTCATTGTCCTCATTCTTCTCATACACATGCAAATGTTATCTTCCTAGTGTTCAAATCTTGATAGAAAACTCACCTCCTAATGCTGACTACTTCAACAAAATCCCCCAAACTGAGATGAAACCCACTAAATTCGACAAGAAAAACGAGACCCAACTCACCAAATGATCACTGAATCAACAATTAACCAAAAAATCCAACTTTTTCCTTTCTAAAGTTCAAATCTTGGTACAAAACTCACCTCCTAATGCTGACTACTTCAACAAAATCCCCCAAACTGAGATAAAACCCACTAATTTCGACAAGAAAAACGAGACCCAACTCACCAAATGATCACAGAATAAAAAATTAACCAGTAAATCCAACTTTTTTCCTTTCTAAAGTTCAAATTTGGTACAAAATTCACCTCCTAATGTGGACAACTTCAACAAAATCCTCCACACAGAGAAACATACCAATAAATTCACCAAAACCCAACTCACCAAATGATCACAGAATCAACAATTAACCAGAAAATCCAACTTTTTTCATTCTAAAGTTCAAATCTTTCCACTAAATTCAACCTTAAAAAAAAACACAATTCACCAAAAACAAAATTCCAGAAATAAAACCAAAAATCAAATCAAGACCCACTATTCAATTAAATCTTACAAATCAGAATTGAAAAATAATAAGCTGCTTCTTCAGGTATAGAATCAAAAGATGATAATAATTTTAAAAGGAGTACAAGAAATATAACTACTATAATTTAGGAACTTAATTTTCCATTTGCATGGCGGATATGTCTGTATAATTTCTTCATAAAGTTTTTTCTATATATATTAATTAAATATACTATAATAAATAAATTAATTAAAACACAATGTGAATGACTTACCTTCCCAAAAACAATCACATATTTATTTATATATTTATTAACAATCCTTATTTTTCTTTTTAGAACTCTATCTCAAGTTAAATTATACTACTACATAAATTGGTAAATTCGTATTAATCTTTAAATAAATTATTTTCTACTTTTAGCAAAATTTTTAGTTTTTTCCTAACAGTATTTGAAAACAGTTTTACTGATTAACAAAACAGTTAATTTTTCAAAAACATGTATTTTTCTCGACATCAATATCAAACAGGTGTTAATTAACTTAACAAACTCCAAAATATTGTTTACTAAGAAAAAAAAAGATTATTTTTAATTTTAAAAAGAACCCTTGTTAATTAAATTCCATAATTCTTATATCACTCTCTGTTTGAAAAGAAAAAAAAAAAGATACTACTTCAAAAACTTATACTAGTACTTAAATTAATTACTTATATCTTTTTTTGGGAAACTTTCACAAATAGCCGCAAAAATAATTTTAATTAGGCTTCATAACTATAATTTGTTAATTACGATTCATAGTTACATGTTAGAGGAAGGAGAGAGACAAGCGAAATTCGAAGAGGGAGGAGAGAGGCGAGCGAGAGACGGTAGAGAGGCTAGCAAGAGAGGACAGAGAGTGGAGAGAGACGAGTTGTATATGTATTATCTGTCGAATTGTATATGAATAAATTAAATATATGTAACTAATATACATATGTATTTGTATATTTGGCAACCGAGATCGAGAGAGACAAGCAAGAGAGTCCAGAGAGTGGAGAGAGGCTATTGCATTTGTATATCTATCATATAATTATATATGTATATGTATAATTTGTATTTGTATGTATATAAAGCGAGAAAAGAGGCCAGAGAATGGAGAGAGGTGGACATAATTACAACTAAAATTAAGTTGCGAGCCGTAATTAATTCAAACTATAGCTGATTAACTAGTACTCCCTCCGTCCAACAATATACTAAAAAATAGTTGTCCACCAATAATTGTCCAATTTAGAAAATCAAAAGATAATTTACCCTTTGTGTCTATTTTACCCTTACTATTAAATAAGTACTCCCTCTATTTCACAAAAAATGACCTGATTTGATTTGGCACGGAGTTTAAGTAAATAAAGATGATTTTTGAATCTTGTGGTCTTAAATTAAAGTTATGTCAAATGTATAAAATTACCCTTTAATCTTGTGGCCTTAAACATGTCACGTGGAAAACTGAAATTAAAATGTTACCAAAAATAGAAAGAGGTCATTCTTTTTGAAACAGACTAAAAAGGAAAGGATGTCATTCTTTTTAAAACGAACAAAATATTATTTATCATCTAACCCATTTTTCAAAACATTAAGGGGTGCTATTTTTGACAGAGGAGTATATTTTTGTTTATCCGCGTAATTTTCTCATCTTTTTAGCCATCCAAATCGGGATATAAGTAGGAAGAAAAGAAGCCCTAATTTTTATTGATCCGAATCTCAGTTGGACTCGAATTAGGTAATTTCTCTGTATACAAATTTTTCTCATCAACTCTTTTGCTTCCTTCAGTTCCGATCAATGAAGAAATTCATGTGTTTTCAACCAAGTTTTTCATTGATGATGATGATGGATTCTTTCTCAGCTGCAATCGAACCTTTTTTTGAAAACCAGTAATCTTTTTTTCTGTTTCGATCTCTGTGTTTTCGACTTTTCGCGATGAATTGCGAGTTGCGCAGAGTTGTAGAGAAATCTCCGTGTGGTAGGTTTATTAGATACAGTGATATGTTGGGTGGAGGGGCTTATAAAGAAGTGTACATAGGGTATGATCGTGTTGAGCAAATTGAAATTGCTTGGAACCAAATCGTAGTAGATGAGCCATTAGAAAACCCTGAAAAGTTGTTCGCTGAGGGTATTTTGTTGAAATCGTTGAACCATGAAAGGGTTATGAAGTGTTTCTGTTATTGGTTCGATTCCAAGTCCAAAATTCTTCACATGATTACAGAGTTATTCCCTTCGGGTAGCTTGAAAAAGTATCTTGCGAATTCTAATGATAATGATAATGGTGTTGGTGCTGATTTGGTGAGTATAAAAAATTGGGGCAGGCTGATTCTTGAAGGTTTGAGCTTTCTCCATTGCCAAAACCCTAAGATCATTCATAGAGATATTAAGTGTGACAATGTGTTTGTTGATAGTGGTGGGAAGGAAATTACTCTTGGAGATTTTGGGTTGGCGATTCGTGTTATGGAGGGTAAGTTTGTGAAAGAGAAAGAGACTAAAGGTACCCCGGAATTCATGGCTCCAGAGTGTTACGATGGAGAATACAACGAGTTGGTTGATATATATTCATTCGGAATGTGTCTTCTTGAGATGGTTACTGGTGAATATCCGTATATGGAATGTAGCAATGGGATTCAAATATTTAAGAAAGTGTACACTGGTGTAAAGCCTGCGTCTCTCGGAAAGGTGAAGGACTCTAGATTGAAAGATATTATTGAGAAATGTATGCTTCCCATGTCTGTTAGGCCATCTGCAGAAGAGTTGCTGAAAGATCCATTCTTTTTATACAATGATGGATCGTCAACATTGGAGGCTTGTGCTCCTGCTGCTGCTGCTGCTAGTTTTGTAATTAGTCATCCTTTGAGGGGATTTCATTGTTGTGCTAGGGATATTAGGAATTTATGTTTGGTGTGATGATCGGTATAGGATGAAACTCACGCGTTCTAGTTTTGGATTGATTGATTCTTTGTTAGAGTAATGAGCATTTTTCTTTTCCAGAATTCTTTGTTGATGTTAGAATTTAGTTGTGACTTGGCTATTGAGAAAGCAAATACATCTTCTTGATATCCTTAATATGTTATGTATCTTCTTCATGGTGTTCTATCTTTAGCGAATTGTCGCAACAATATGTTAAAGACCATTACTATGAGTTATGTTAAACTGTTATTGGTGATGTTGAACTCTTTCAATAGATGCTCTTATTCATGTTTGTGATAGGGATTTCTGATCTCAAGTTTAGCAGTAGGGCTGAAAATTCTTCTTCTTTTTTTTGGCTTTGATCAACAATGGTCTGCTTGATGTTGGTTTTATCAGTTACTGTTAGTTTTTATAAATTTTGTTTTCCTTGTGTAACTATAAACAGTTTGGAAAATTTGATAGAAGTGCTGGCTAATCCATCCAGAGTCCAGACTATTGACTGCATTTTAAAGCGGATCAAAGGAAAATTCAATTCAGAAAGTTGAAAGCACATATAATTTCTTCCCTAAATGAAAATGTTATCTGGTACAACTTTTCTATCAAAAGTACTTGTAGAGTTCTGCTATTTCACCTCTATAAAAAGCATGGAACCATTCGACAGAGAGAAGCCGGAAGTTTCATACACGGTATGGCAGTCTATGTTCCCAACCGATAATTACTATAAAAATGGTTGCCTATTGCATACGAAGCTGCACAAGTATACAATGGAAATTTCACCTTATTTCCACTGAATTATAAGAATAGACAAGTGTTCTTCTGGATTTGCATGTGTAAGCTTGCAAAGTGAAGATCCCCATCATGAGCAAATGAGTTGATAAGCTGGAATCAACCTTGTCTTCCCTTTCCCTTACCCTTTCCATTTCCCTTTCCCTTTTTGCCACCTTTGTAAGCCTTTTTCCCCTTCTTGGTCTTCAAATATGATGCTCTTTGGGCCTTCTTCTCTCTTTCCTTCCGAACTTGATCAACATCTTTAATTTCTGATCGCACGTGGGCGTTAGGTACTGACCTATTGTTTCTCCCACCTCTGAAATTTCTGCCACCATCTTGACCTCTAGGACCACCTATTCAAACAGCACAAGGTCACAACCATCAACCATGATTTCATTTCATTGAATGTAAGCAGATACTATGTGTCAAATTACAAGCTTTCATTTGATTGAAACAACATAAGCTCACAGGATATATGAAACAAAATGAATTTGAACTTCCATCACCAAGGAAACAACATGGAGCAGCATAATAGCACATGTTTCCTGGGAGGAAACGTAACCATAATATACTCTGAATGCAGTGAGAGGGACATCAAATATACCAAGAAATATGTAGAATTCATCACTAAACATTAATAATGTCAAGTTCTCTTAGAAGAGGGGTTCCAAATCATTACCAGCTAAACTAGTTGATTGTGCAGCAGAGTTTCCATCATTAGTTCCATTAAGAGATACTCTCTTGTGTGATTGGTCTTTCCACTTCTTGTATATCCCAGTTTTGTTGGTTTTTCCCTTAGAGCCGCTCTCTGTCTTTATCTGCACACCATTAACAAAAAGATGAAAAAAGTTTTGGAAAACCGAGGCCTGAAAACTTGAAAGCTTTGCCCAGTATAAGTCAAGAAAAACTCAATCCTATAATGCAACAAGAAGGTCAAGTCAAATAAGAGCACATCTATGGGAACCTATAATAGTGTCCAAATACTGCCTCCGTGTTGCTTCTATAAAATCACTAGGCTTACATCCTTATCATAGTAAGCAGAATCGTTTGCCTTCACTTGGTGTTTGGTTTAAGCCCTTTCTTTTTCATTGTTTAGTACACATAACTGATTAACTTCACAAAAGGTTTAAGGTATATAGGGGTAGTATTTTGGGCAAAGCATGATTTCAAATCATTTCCCCACCTTATACAGAAATCATGATGCATCAAATATCATATACAGTTCAAAGATGAAACCCTGACAGGAAAAAACCAAAACAGTATCAACCTTATAAGTTATTCTATAGGTTATGTCCTCTAGTTGATACATAAAAGATTTAACTTTAAAAAAAATACCATCTTAATCTCCAACGTGTCCAAGAGAAAGCGAATACCAAAGAAAATGCATAAAGACCCATCAGACTCCATACTCCGAAGTCCTTAGAGCTACTTAGACTATGATGAAATTTAATGCAATAATTATATTTCAGTTAGATAAAGTGTTCAAAATGATATTAAGAGTAGGGGCGGGGGGGGGGGGGGGGGGGGGAGGAGATGTGCCAAAAGGATGTAAGTTAGAAGATGAACCTGCAGCATAAATGCCACGACTAGCACTGTGATAAAGAGTGTAGCAGTCTCAAACAATTGGAAGTTCAAGTCCATTGGTTTTCCCATGAACCAACCAACAACAACACAAAATGGAATCTGCATCATCAAAAGCATGAGATCTACGAATAAGCAACTTGATTTATAAGCTCTATCATAATCTTTTAATAAATACTTAAATAGCACCCAGAAGGTGCAAGCGAAAGTATTTACAGATTAATGTCACACGTATGTCTCTTCTCTCCTTAGAGGGAACCTATCAGATCTATCAATTCCATGGCTCACTATAACAATTCGGGGCGGGGGGGGGGGGTTGATTTAAACTCGAAATAACAAGCTGCACTTTTTTCTGCCTGAGCTTTCTGATCAATCAATCCCCTATTTCAGCATGTGTGTTAGGTGGGCCTTTTAATTTGCAAATGACAAGTTCCAATGTTTTATTTCATTTCCTCAGCATTAGTAGATATTTTCATTATGAGGAGAATATATTTTAACGTATCAAATACAAAGTTATTATGGGAAGGGGGCGTCACATCTTTTCGGTGCTCACAACATGAAAAGTAGGCTTGTTTGAACTCTCCTGCCACACTTCAAAGAAAACTAGATGTTCTATTCATCAAGCTTGCTGGTCCAGACAAAAAATGACATGCAAGGGCTTAAAAAAAGTACCTTCCCACTAGCTGTAACACGATCTCCATTGTTGAGCTTGATGTATTTCTTACTCCTCTGTGTTCAGAACATGCAATTAGCTTTCTAGAGAAAAACTACTCATTACAAGAAAAAGGCAGCGTCATTCGTCAATTATAAGTACCTTATCCCAATGATATGAAACCTTTTGTTTCTGCAACCCATTCTTGTCATCAGCTACCAAATCTAGAACAGCAGCATCCAACCTAATTTGTGCAAAATGCCAAAAAGAAACAATGTCAATAAATGTTAGTATGGTGGGTGTCTCAAGTCCTGATAAAGGAGAAGTGTCACATTAGGTAGATCGCAAAACTAGTCAATTTAGGATGAATCTTCAATTCTTTGCAATACTGAATACACATATTGGCAGTTTGAAGCAAACAAACTGCTGTATTAGAATTCTTCCTTTTCATTCATAGTTACATACGGAAGAATTTATTTCAAGATGTAGAACATGAAATTGGAAAAAATTCTGACGTATTATGATAGCTCCATGGACAAAAATGAAGCTTTGGATGCACCAAAAAGGTCATTCACAAGGTCTCAAGCCAAGGAGATACAAGCTAAGGTTGTTGAGATATAATGGGAGAACAAGAAGATGCTTTATTGTGGAAGAACCGAAGAAGATCTCGAGACTTGTGGAGAAACTCTGGCTAAGTTCTACACTTATTTCATGGTCCAAGTCCAAGATGAAGAAGATTGGATCCCATAAAATGCCCCAAATTGACTCCTAAGGAAGGAGGGCTTTAAGAGGAGCCAAAAACACGACCAATTGCAAGTTACCAATTTAAAAAAAAAACGACGTTACCCTTCGGGGTGGCCCAGTGGTTTGGGTTTGGAACTTCCATGTTGGAGGTCTCAAGTTCGAAACCCCTTGCCAGCGAAAGCAAGGGGTTTACCTTCTGGGTCGAGCTCGTCGCACCGGGCTTACCTAGTGCGGGTTACCTCTCCTATGGGGTTTGCGAGCTATTGCATAGGAGCGGGGTTTTTACCCTGTGCGCATCCAAAGGGTAGCGGCAACAGGTTTCCCTTGTCATCACAAAAAAAAAAACGACCAATTGTTCACGTCATTGGTGTGTTTCTTGGTCCAAGAGGCATGTGTTTTGAAGACCATGTGCTATTACTTCACTTATTTTAGTTGGTTAGTTTGGGAAGTGTGTCATCAATGCTACATGTTTTTTTTTTAAAACTGGTAAGGTTGTATTCTTCAGCATTAAGGGCATGCTGGCCACCACCAAAAAGTGTCAATTACAAACTTCCTAACAAATCTACAATCTGATCTGTATCTAATATACACAACTGTTTACACCAAAAAAGTAGAGATACTATACAATTCCATTTGACCTTGTGTATGGAATTGGATCTATTTTCGAAGCATCTACTATTCCTTCCTTCAAACTGACGCCATATACATGATGGTATTAACCTCCACCATCTCTTCTGACTCTTGGTGCCTCCTCTCTTTTACCCAGCTCTTCAACACGTTTGATGTACGTTCTGGCATTGTCCAATTCAGATTTGAAATGCCAAGGAACAGATTCCAGATTTGAGCAGTGTAATTACAATGCAAGAAAAGGTGGCGGTTAGTTTCACTTGTCAAATTGCATAAAAAACACCTAGGGACCAGCTGTCTACCCTTCTTCTAAAGTACTTCCTGTGTTAAACAAGCTCTCTTTATCACTAGCCAAGTGAAGCATTTCACTTTTGTAGGCATATCCCCCTTCCAAAAATAGTTCCAGAGGTGTTTTGGTCTCCCTGCCATCACCTGGAAACCTCTTCTGTAAGCATTGTTGACTGAGAAAAAGCCATCTTTGCTGTGCTTCCACACTGTCTGTGGCATTTGCGATTATGTTCACTCCACCTAGCATCCCTAATATCTCAGCCACCCTTTCCACCTCCCAATCATTGAGAAGTCTTCTAAAATCTAGATCCCAACCCTGTTCAGTCCAGCAATCACC